AGTGTTGCTTTCTATTTTAGTTGCTGTTGATAATGCAGAGCTAAAATACATTGCTATTTTATATTTGTTGGTTTTATTAAACATAATAAAAGTAACCATACCCAATGTTGCCACTGTAAATTAATAAGACTCCCTGAATGGCATCTATTTGTCTTTGAACTTTGTATCTAGATAAAATGGGATGGGAAGGGGAAAGAAGCACCACGCTGAGACAGAAAGGGTTAAAGCTTTGGAGATTTCACTGTTTCTTTTCTCAAGTCCACTAAAAAAAAAAAAAAAAAAAAAAAAAAAAAAAAAAAAAAGTTTTCTGTTGCTGTTTGTGTTCTTTTTATTGTGGTTTTTGTTGCTGATACACTGTTCCCCTCACATTGCAGTCTTAGTTATCTAATAAACTGTATTCAGAGACGATTCTGGATACATTAGCTATTATTTAAGAATATTTACATGATATACTGCAAGTTTCAAAATTCAGCTTTCTGAAGCAAATGAAAATAAACTAAATGAGTAAAGTAGCATTAGGCAATTTTAGAGCACACACAGCCCTCGGCTAAATAATAGGTACTGGGTGCCTGACTTTAATCTTTTAAGAAATCAAAGCAGATTTCAGACACCCTGATTTTCTAGCAAATACCTCTGAATGCAAAACAAAATTATGATCCATCATTATTTTTTTATTATGAAAAAGATGCAGGGAGGCATATTCTGTTGCAATTGTTCCATGGGGAAGCATACGAGCACTGCAGCAGCACAGCGATGCCCTGCCCTTTGGCGCTCAAAAGGCCCACAGCCCCCAGTTGAAAGTGCAAGAGGAATGTAGGTAAGCAAAATATCATTATTTGAGTTGGCCAGTGGCCAGAATGGCTAACACCCCAATCCTAACGAAGAAGGGAAAAGAATCCCAAGCCTGCTGTTTAATATGCATGACATGTCGGCTCCGCTGTCAACTTTTCCTTCCACCCCCTGCTTTTGTCCGCTTTTTCCACCTGTTGCAACTTGTCCTTACCCAGGCTGAGAGCTCGCCAAGGCAGGAATTTTCTTACTTCACTGTCGCATTGTGTCTGCCACAATGATGCCATGATCCCCGACTACTCCTATTGAGACTCCAAAGACATCATGAATAATGCTGACACTGTGCAGCCCATCAAGACTTCCCTTTTCACAAATATATAAAATAGCATATATATATATACATATATATATATATAAAATCTTGACACTATAATTGAGGCTCCCCAAGCTAGAATTCAAATATGGAGAAGAGTTTTACAGGATCTGCCTCATGGTTGCATGACTAACCACCAGATTTTCAGTAAAGTGTTCTTGAAGATAAGAAAAATATGCGAGTAGAAACAATAAAAGTAATGCAATTCAATCTTATCAATTCAGGCAGTTCCAGCTTTTATGTGGCAAACAAGGAGATCAAATTGCATTTATCTAATATCACAGATTTTTTAAATGTCTAAAATATTTAATTATTTTGCTTTGGCAACCCAAAGCTGAGGAACAGATTACTGTTCCCACTACATAAGGAAATAACTGACAACAATTAGTATTTATTCTTGTTGCTTTTGTAGTAAAAATAGAATTCCATCACTTTCAAGGAAACCTAAAATATTAATAAGAATGTGATGAACTGAGTAAATGTGACGCCATAAGGAAATGATGGAGAACAAGTTGGAAATATAGTGCTATGGGAATGTATTGCATTATCAAGTTTGTGATTGTGCATTTTGACAAGAGCCGCCCTCAGATTGATACGGTAGCCAAAGGGCACTCTTCCTCCTGCAAAGCCGTTTGTTTCCATCTGGAAAAGGGGGAGTGGAAGGGGATTGATCCCCTCTGACAATCGATAGTGACTCAAGCCCAGGCTCTTCCACAAGAGGTCACTCCTGTGTGGCAAAATTCCCAGAAAATGGCCAAAATGTGAACCAGATAGTGACCATGCAGAGAAAAAGCAGCGTTAAGCACACTAGCATTGGTTTTACCACCTACAATTTGACTACTGTGGCAGCTCCTATAATCCATGCACGCAGTAAGGTCTCTTGATTTTTGTATACCTGCACAGTTTCTGAGAACCGTGTGACGCATAGACACATTCCCTACGCACTTAATCCTGTGCCCTGTTACGTGTGGTACAAAATTAATATGGCAGGCTACTCACCAGGAGACCATATTACAACTGGTATAAAGTAAGAGGGGTTTTGGCTGCTTAAGAGAAACCTAGAGTCTGAATGATACAAAATTACTTGGAAATTATGAGATCTACCACTAATTTTAAAAGCTGAACAGAAAAAGACTTGTTCACGTGGAAAGGAGCAGCGGAGCAAGGCAGATTTCTTCAAATGAACCAAATGCACACATTTTCTAATGGCGGAGATTGCTAGGTGAAAAACATGCTTTCCTGAGCAAACATTCTCTGCATAAATTAAACCAGAGAAATAGTTGGTAGCGTCAAATAAATAGCAGTCTCTTTCCATGTATTTAAGAGTGGGATAACAGATTTACATATTTTGGTAACAGTCCTCAAGGCCATACTCAGTTATTTTTCAGCTCAAGAAAGCTTCAATTAAAATACAAGTTGAATCCACACTGGATGAGAAGCCACTGAAAAGCTGCATGACCAAGAGGACAGACATTGTGTGAACTTTGGAAATTGAGTCTGGCAGTTTAAGCCTAATTTTCAATGAAATTTGTGTCTACAAGTCAAAAAGCGTAACTGAGAATTACCATTTGTCCTTGTAGTGTGAGCAGAAGCAATTAGGATTATACAGAAAACCCATATTCTGTCTACTTGGTCTCTAGGAACAGTCTCCCCAGTTTTAAATTAAAGAGAACATTCATTTGATCACTTTGAGAGGAATATACCTGTCTTTTACATGCTTGTGCTGCTAAAAAGACCAATGCCACAGAATTACTTCCTCAAAAACTGGACTTTTTTTTTTTTTTTTTTTTTTTTTTTTCAGCTCTTAAAATGCAAAGAAGGAAAATACAAATGAATGAACCACCACCTGAATATTTCAGTAACGATGACTGGGGATCGAAGTAACTTTTTAATAGGCATCATTTGCTTGTTCTTCATGCAAAACTGGAGGGGCTTTAAGCCATCTTTAAAAAATTTCCTTTGTTTGGATTTGACGTTGGCAGCAGACAATAATAAGAGAGTACTATAAAATTACAGAATCGTTAAACTTTGCAAGAACTTTATAAACACACTTGCAGATATTGCACATATCTTCTCTGTGCTCTGCAGTCAAACTGGACAATGAAACGACCACCTGTTAACTGCTAACAATGTGTCATTACCAGTTCTCATGCCTTTTTAAAGCAATTTTGGCTCTAGCTGCCGATAATTCTGGCTACGATACTTGTGTGAACATTAAGGGCACAGAAAGCCAAAGGCAGAAAACTGACAATACAGTTTGTGCTTAGACTACTAATAAGTAAGTGAATAATATGATTTTTCTAATTCCACATAATTACTAGATCTCAAGGGGCCAAAAAAGTTCTGAATACATATTTTAGAAGCAATCCAAGCTGCAGTATTTAGATACCAGCTTTGATTCACAGCAGATATTTTCACGATTTTTAATAGTTTAAATAGCCTTGAACAAAACGAAGGTTACTCACAATTCTCTAAGGTTTGAAAAGAAATGTAGAATAAGTCTATGACACTGCTCGCGTTCACTTTTTCTGTTTTGTTTGACAAATTATCAGTTAAAGATATGTGAGAAGTCAAAATAAATAAGTGAAATTTTCCCGAGTGATGAGGCAATTTACGGGTGTTTTGCTATTAGCTGCAATGAGAGCAGAATCAGGCCCTCCAAACTTACTGCGTTCTCCGTCTCGTTTTTTCTCCTTCTGAGAAATGCAATGTTATATACACAGCATAAAGGCATTGGGACAATTTCTTACAAATACACCCAGGCTACTTTATATTTTATAACTGATAGAAAAATCTTTAAAAATATATTAAAAAATATCTTTAAAAAATCTCTGAGATGGTAAGAAAACAACAACAAAAAGCTTTGGTCTGCAAAAAGAGACTATTTAATGAATCTCAGTATCTGCGTTTGTGCGAGCGCATGCATGTGTGCATATATTTATGAATATGTGGATAATTATCATTAAAAATAGCGATGTCGGGTCTTCTTATTGTAACTCTTTTCCTAACATCTCAGGCTTTGATCCTGCACGGAAATGCGTGCAGGCAAATTCCCGCACAGACCGTCAGCACCTATAGGTATCTCGGAGCAGCACGCGGGGCTAAAGCTGTCACGGTGCTTACATTAGCAGCACCATGCGACTCCTGCCAAACAAAGAAGGAAAACAATGATTCGGGAGAGGGGGTGACATTTTAAAAAGCTCAGTGGGAGATTTGGGGTCGCCCCAGCTCCTGCTGCCCCCAGTTCCACAAGCATCTCAACACAAGCTGGAAGAGGAAAGTCTCCGTGGGCTGAAGCCCACCCCTACCGGCTTTAGATCACTTTCTTTTGTAATCATACCAATAAAAATCCACCTTGATCCCTGAAATTTACTTTCCATACAATTACAGAACCATCCTTGAATGTCGGCTAGAGAGGATATGCCAGGTCTTTCAGCAATACAGTGTATAAATATATAACAGACAAAATTACTCTAGCAATTTGAGGTATTTTACTAAAATGGAAACAAAGCAACTGCAATAGACCATTAGCATAGGACTCATGTTGCTTATTTTTAAAAATAAATGGCTTGAATAAATGTCTTTTCTCCTAAACAAATTTATTTCGTTTAGGAGGGAATGTCACCCTTTAAAAATGTGGAGCTAGTAACTGTCTTTACTTAAATGCAAGTTATGTATATCAGCCCAAAACACATTCAGCTTTACAATTCTCAGTGATCTTCCTTACATTCTGTATGTAATAAAAATTATCTTACCCTTTAATGGCGTGCTTATTTTACAAAGGGGAAACAGAAGGAAAAAAAAGAAAAAGAAAAAACAGAAAGAAAAAAAATCTTACTTAAAGATTTTCTGTGTTCAGGCTTTGATTCTTTGGATTCAGTGTCTAAGCTATTCAGTAATTCAGTGCTGGAGGATCTTCTGAGTTTGAACTCCAAATTTCTCGATGTACAACTCCGTTCTTTTGGCTGGGGAAAGAAAATGTATATTTATATCTATGCGTGCTTCTAATAAAATTATTATTTGTATGAATGCAGCAGGAGATTGCAGAATGCCAGCACAGAATAAGGAGCTAATAGACACAGCAAGTGATGCAGTGAGTATATTATTTAAGGGAAGTGTAATGCAAAATTTTTCATATGGCAAAGCTTTTATGCCCTGACAGACTGATCTTAATTTCTGAGATAAATTCCCATTTAAGTAAGGAAAACAAAAGGCCTGCTTCCTTAGGCCTCAGAGACCAAAATGATTTCCACATTGTAGGCTATTTCCAAATTATTGCAGAGAGGAAGGTTGTTAACATAGCCTTTCTGTTTTAGATAGTCACAGTAAATGTTCTTTCAAACACAGTTGTTTCAAACATCTGTACAGATTTGGGTTAAACTCTGCTGGTATAAGCTCAGGGAAGAGCAGGGCTCTTTTTCTGCTACTCTAGTGGTTAGGGATGAGTAGTGATCCCAATGTTTGTCACAATCAGGAATAAAAGGAGGAAGACACTTTTTTTGGCTAATTACACATCTCCCCCCCATTACGCATGGTCAGGTGAGATCTGCTATCTTGATGGCTGGGGAAGTTTTAAAACTAGAACAAATTTAATGGGTGAAACTCGTCTAGCCGTTGGTTGCCCTGCACATAGCAGGGGGGTTGAAACTAGATGATCATTGTGATCCTTTTCAACCCAGGCCATTCTATGATTCGATGAAACCTCCAGTGAGTGCTATTGGTGGCATCCTGTCCTGGGCATGCAGCAATGGGACAAGCCCTGCCCTCTGGTACCACCACTTTGCTGTACGTTGCTGTGGCTCACCGTGCGATCTGAGCTGCCAAAGCCATTATTTTACCTCTTTGAAGAGCAGCGCTGAAACAATAGTTGAGTCTATTAGATGCTTAGCTGAGTAGCACACACACAAAAAAGAAAGTGCTCTGAGTCTCTACGGTAAACTCCACCCCAAAATCTTCAGTGGGATATCAATATCCTTGCATAGCCAATGAAATGCGTACTATGAAGACATACATCATCAGATCAAACTTTTCTTGGCTGATTATAGCCTCAGGGTAATAGAATGTTTGCAGCTCTTTAAGGAAACAGTAGCCCTGCTCAGGTTAACCCTTTCCAAGAGACTGACTGTGCCCTCTCTGCCAATTCCATTTCAGAAAAAAAAACTTTGAAAAATGCAATAAATTGGGGCAATTTTCTCTTGTCACATTCTGCGGTGAACAAGGGAAGTCAATGCTCCCCCCCAAAAATATGTTCTTGGAGCAGGCAGAGAAGGACATCATTTGGAATTTGTACTGAGAGTGGCAAAAAGAGAGAGAAAAAGCTACAGCTGAATCTGGTTTGGTAATTAAAAACTGTTTTAATAAAACGCAGCCCTGCTTACTTCTTGTAGAAAAACCCCCAGCTTTCCTAGGAGAATAACAGCAATCAGTTACAAAGGAATATTATTTGCTAGTGTTATTCTTGTGAATAAGTAATACAAAAATTCATAAAAGGATCAAATGTAGTAATAGTTCTATTGAAGATTATATACTGTAGGCTGCATAAACAGAAAATGCAAAAATTCATTAGTTATTAAGTGCTTGTGTGCTTTTACAACCCTCAGCAAACCAATGTCCTTGTTATTTCAGAGAAATAAATGTAGCGTTGCATTTCAAGGCAAGATTCAAATGACATTTTAGTTCAACAACCTTGTTTATCTGGCATTTTTCAGAAGATTTGCATATTTTTGTACCCTTCAGATACAGGAATGTCTAGCTAGTTGCTAGCTGCCTAAAGCCTGCAGAGATGCCTAAGCAAATGAAGTTGAAATTGCTACATCTTAATTAATAAAGGTAACAGCCAAAACAAATACATACCAATCTGTCAATTGCATTTTTGATAGCATGGAACCAATCCAATATGAGAAAGTCGATATCCGACTGGAGGAGGAACTCATTTCCTGATACTGTCGTGATCTGGGGGAGAGCACGGATGGTGACAGGTAAGTAAAGTGCACAGAACAGATCATTTTCTGCCATTGTCTCTGCTACATATCCAAATGCTTCCCTTTGTATCAATAATTATCTCCCAGAGTTACCAAGGAGTTTTGAACCTCTGTCTGAAAGCTGTTTAGGATATGTCACAACAAACGAGATATTGTCTCAGCATTGCAACCACCATACACAAATAGTGCAAAAATAATGATAATGTGACAAAAAGTTAAGAAAAGCCAGGGAATTCAACACGACAGACAGCTCAGATGTAAATCAAAGCATCCTGAAAAGAAATGAATTCAAAGTGAGAATTAATTCCTGTTATTTTCACTTTGCATTTCAATTCTGGTTTTATTTTTATATCTGATTTGTCTATCCTTGACTTTACACATTTCCTCTATACCTGTGATTCCAGAGTCCATTTCCAAGCATTTTGGTAAAATTAATAATCACCTTTTTTCACATGAAGAAAACTGCTATCAAAGATGGCTGTGGCAAAGTAATTAGGAGCCCACTTATCAGTGGAAAAATCCTCAGTTTGTCTAAATAGAAGTGTATTTACATTTTTGACCCCCACTCTGGGAATATTTATCAAAAGAATATTCACTCCCCTGATAACACTGTTTCACTGCCTAACAATATTTGGTGCAAATATGCATGCACATTCTGCTGGTCTGAACTTCTGAAAACCACCATGAAAATAATGATTTATCACTGTCACACACACACATACACATATATATATTTAAATGAGTTTTTGTAAAAAATAGATCTCTAGATTATTTTATAAAACAAGTTAAAAGGACCGTTATACAGATCGCAAAACTGAGGCAGGGAGCTGCAGCATGGCACACGTGGATGCAGGGCAAAGCAGCTCTGCCTATTTGCAGATCAGGTAGCATCTCCACCGTGGTCTGCATAATACAGGAAGGATCTCATCCTGTGCCTGCTCCAAAACAGCTCAGCACCCACCAACCAAAGCTTCATCATTATTATTATTATTATTACTGTTATGAAGAGATGCCTGTACAAAACTAGGTAGCATCCAAACTGCACACTCAAGTTACAGTGGTTTGGGACACACTCTCAGTGCTTACAACAGCTGCTCATCGGGGTGTGGTATTTCTCAGATCCAAAACCTGTTTGTTTTTTTTTTCTCAGGGAATGGCTGAACAGAAAGGTTTCCCTCTGAGCAGAGTGTGAGGAAAAGCAGAACAGAGCTGCTAAGACCTGGCGCAGCCTATTAAATCTGGTGACCTGAAGTGCTACCGTTTTGCTGCATCCGCTCATGTCAAGAGTCTTTCCTAAAGAATAAAGTAACAAACCAGCTCAGACGCTCCCCACATCTTTCTTAAAACTGAAATACTACCAGGGGAAAATTAAAAAACAACAACAACAATAACAACAACAACAAAAAAAACAGCTTGTTTTATTAATTGTTCTATAACCCTCCCGTTATTGAGGAAATGCCTGTAAGGAAGGTTTCCAAAGTCATCAGCATTAAGGAAAATCCCATCAGCGCAGCTCCAGTGGAGACATCCTGTGAGAGTGCTGCGGAGAATGTGGGAATGGGCTCCCAGCGCGGGTTGGGAGCCTGCCCGCCTGCCTGCAGATGTTCCCAGCCCCAGCCAGCCCCACACCAGCCCTTCAGGAGCAGACCTCCAGCCTCTCTATTGTTCACGGCGCACAGGGAGAGCTAGTGGCTGGGGACATTGGAATCCCGTTATTAGTCCTCCGCCGTGGTGCTAACTGCTGCTCATGTGCTATCCATTCTCTTTTATCCCAACAAAAGAAAAAAAAAAAAAAGAAGCCCAAATTCAACTTAAGGTAAGCAGTTAAAAGAGATGGCCTCCAGGTCTGTGCCCAGTTCACGCTGCAAGTTTTGGGATCAAAATGCATTACATTTTATCGCTATTAATGTATACATGCAGATAGGGATTAGACTAAACACAGGCAACAATTCAATCCGATGCCTCTCTCCCAGTATAAACAAATCATTATTAAAATTATAAAATGGAATAACAGTTTCAAAGTAAGAGCAACATATATAATTAGATTTACTGTATTTTGATGGCTTAAAAGGGACACGACGTAGTTCAGTCTCCCGTTCAGTAAATTCAGGCTGCATGAAAATACAAGTATTCAGCACTGCATAAACATTTGTACTGTATGATATGCAAAAGAGACACTCCATTGCTAACAAGACCAAAGTAAAGTACATGTTGAAAGTTCCTTTGTCTGAATGTGTTATTCTGATAATCATATATTATCGATGTTTTAGGAGCAAATCTGTAAAAACAGATCATAGTATTGAGGAAAGAGAATTCATTTAAAATATACTTTCTGTAAGATATAGTTCAAGTCCTTTTCTTTCTTTCCTCAGTCGAATCTTCGCAGCAACTAGACAGTTTCAAGAAGACTGCTACTGCTCTCTACAGTTTAAATGCATCCACTCCTTAATTACAGTCAGTAATTGACTTTGTTCTGCTCCATTCCAGTCATTCACAGGAAAGCAGTTCCAAAGGCTTTGGCTGGTAAATCCCATTTAACGTGCAGGTTCCCTATCCCACTTTTATATATTACCTCCTTAGGATTTCTGATAAATGGTTCTTGGAAGGGATTGCTAAACCATATTTGCACTTTGAACAATCGAATTTTCAACACCCTTGGGAAAAGACATCAGTAAAGAATGCTAGCTTTGAGTAAACCTTGTGATTGAACAATTTATGATCACAGCCCTAAACGATGTATAACTAACAACATGCATAAATTGCTCCATATTAAGGCATGCTAACGCACCGTCCTTGTATTAGGCACTGCTGAAGTAAACAGGGACTGGAGAGAAAATGAAAAACAAATCTTAAAATAAAAGAAGAAAAAAAAAAGGAAAAAATGTTCTAGATAGATGCCAGCCTCCATTGTGTCAGGTGCTTTGATTTTTTTAAATATTTCCTGAAATTCTTCTCTATTATTTTTGCAGAGGCTCCAGTCTGGAATTAGCAAGGTCTTCCCAAGCAGAATTGTGAGGCTGCTGTCAGCAATAAATACCCACAAGGAATGACAACCTGCATCAGCCCTCTTGTTTTCCAACAGTGTGCCCTTCATGTTGCTTATAGTGGAGCCAAAATTCCCAAAGTCCTTGCTTGCTATAGTACTTTGGAAAAATCCCTTCTCAGGCTGAGTTCTTCATCCAGAACAGTTTTACAACTGCAGTCCTACTGCTCAGCACTGATGATCGGAACACATTGGCTCACTGCAGGTAAATGCATGTTAAATTTGGTGTGCTGCTGGGCTGCCAACAAAGTGTGGAAAGTAGAGGGCAGGTGTGAAACACTTTTTCATAATATTCTGTTGTTAGTTCATTATAGATTTCTCCTGTCATCATACACAGTTGCAAAGGGAAGGGTATGTCACCATAATGCTCTGCTAAACCTGTATTCAACAAGATCCTATGTTATTAAACAAAAAGATACCTATATAGCACCAATACTGTATTTTAATAATGCCATTACCATTAAATTACATAAATACCCTGTATCTTGTCTGGGATCAGTATTTTCTAAAAATCCCACAAATCCTATGCTTTATTGATGCCAGGTCATTCTCTGGCACATGCAATGTGCCATGCGTGGTTGTGTTTCACTAGGACTTCCAAAACTTCACAGCTAACTCAGTTCACCTTTTAAAACATCTCAGAGATTCTCCCCTTTCATGATATACCCACACCAAAAGAACACAGGAGATCAAAGACATCAAAATGCCATGGAATAAGCCCAGGAGTTTTTGGCCATAGCCTTCCCACAAACGTTGAACCAGGGACTATTGCACTGTTGTGAAAAAAACATATCCTTCATGGCATATCCCTTTGGTTCTTTACCAGTATACATTTCTTTTAGCTGTAGAATAGGGATGGAGGCAATTTTAGCAGTCGTACTGATAGGCACTCTATGGAGATATGGAAAAGGGAGAAAAAAATCACACAGCAAAACAAAAATACAAAACCGTATTATTGATTCACTCACTTCAAAGTGTGCTTATGCATCTCTGGTGGCTACAACTATTATTTGCAGTGATGAACTATTTTCAGACAATGCCGAGCGCAAACTTTAATGCAGGAAGTGGAGAACTCTTTGGGGAAGAAGAAATACAGCAAAAACACTTCAGAGTCTCTCTCCTGCAGTGAATGAGCATGGAGCAAACGGCTTGGAAATTGTGTGTTTTACATATGGCTCATGTGCAGCCACCAAGAACCCATCTCCCCATTTCTTATTTCAGCCAGATACCAAAACATAACATAGTTTACTTCCTTCTGAATGCAGGACATCCTAAAAAATCCTGGACTATTGTGGTAGTAGCTCCTTGTATAAACAATCCCATTAGTCCAGTGTTGGATTATTGGATGCTTCTAGACCGTGGAAACCCTACACTGAAGCTAAATCCAGTGCAAAATCCAGTGCAGAAAACCTAAATTTTGATGTCACCTGGGACTCCCACAGCCTGTGGTGAACACTAAGTGATTTAAACTTAGATTGACAGATACCTCAGTGTGCAGAAACTCAATAAAATGTGTTCCTCTTGTTGCACTGTGCATTGGGATTGCTGCTCTTGATATATGTAGGAAAAAAGGAAATGTGAGTCGCTGGAGCATTTCTAGCTCAGAAGCTAACACTCTACCCCCTTCCCACCGCTTCCTTCATCTCACCTTGCATCTTACAAGCTTTTTTCTGATCATGTTAACCATCTTGATCCCCTTATAGAAGAGGAATCTAGGCTTTGCCTCTACTTTTTTGAGATATTTTTGCAGGATGGGATCTAGCCATGTTACCCACATAACGCAGGACGTGCCACTCTCCATCTGCATGGCAACCACCAAGGTGGGGAAAAACAACAAAAGAAAAAGGGGGGAGAAAAAGGAAAAAAAGAAACAAACTGGGAATTTTCTCTCTTTTTCAAAATGTTCTTGAAAAAATAAGAAAGGCATA